TCCTAACTGGTTTTTCTGGGTTATGCTTCAGTTATCCTTAGTAGTGGTTAGTAATGTGTGACTTTTCTGTCCTCATTGTTTGGAAGGAATTGAAGTGACACTCCTGTGCTTATTTTATTCATCCTGTGTTTGGTGGCACACTTTATATGGTAACAGAGGTGTAATCTAGAACTGGTAGCCTATTTTTTAATTTCTTTGTTTTAGTATGGGATTATCGAAGAAATTCTGTGCATTTAACAATGGGTGGAGGGTTTATGTGGGTGTTTGCAGGGTTAGGTAGATTTTGGTTTCCATTTTGCTTCATGTTTGGAGGTAGAAGGTGGTATGTGTCTTTAAACTTTGATAGATCGTTGTTGAGGATTTTGTAGCCATTTTGGGTAGCTCCAGGCTGAGAGCCAGGCTAGGGAGCCAAGAGTCTCTTCCAAGAGCTCTGCTTTCAAATACAGAGCAGCAGCAAAGGTAGAGAAAAATATCTCATATACAGGAATTTCTGCAAAACCTCCCCAGAATGTTGAACTGAAATCAGCTCAGAAATCTGAAAGTACTCAGAACACATGAACTTCATGAAAAGGTGCTTTATTTGTGTCCAGGACAATTTGTCAATCAGGAGTGATCGGGTTTGAAGAGCAATGACTGTGTTTAGTGAATTGTCTGTATTTTTTGGCTTTGTTATAAAGTTCTGATAGTTCGAACCTTAAAAATTATGGGAACGGTGAAGAATAAAAGTGTTAGGATCAGGACACGAGCAGTGTTTAGTGAGGAGAGGATCAGAATTAGCTGCCTGCCCGTTCACTGTGCAACAGGAACAGGATCTCCTGTGCCTGCCTAAGCCTCCGTTAAATAATGGTGTTGGATACTGGTTAGACAGGGCTTGCCTTGGGGGTGGAATTTGATACAGTTTTTAAACACATACTCCACCCTGTTAGTAGCTCTTGAATAAAGCTTTCAGAGTCCTTTGCCAAGATGTTGGGACTCACGCTTCAAAACTTTGAGTGGAAAGTTAACCATTTTTTGTTGCTGTATCTTAGTTCAGGAAGTCAACAACATGGAAATGAAAATTCTCTTTGTTTCCTTTACATGGATTGCACCACTGGTTTACAATTAGAGGTTACAGTTGGATTATAAAGGGTTCTTCTCACCAGTGCTTTGGGATTGTTGACAGTGGTGAATTAGGGTAGTCAGAATAGTAAGAGATGCTGGATGAAAGAAGTCATTGTCATGAGTGTGTCACTGTGCTAAGCATTGTTGATGCATTAGTGCTCGTTCTGCTGCTTTGTGATTAAAATATACTGAACAGGCATGACATTGTGGTGGCCTGCTAATAGATTAGACTTGGGAGTTCAAAGTGAATTGTGTAGTACAAGTGCGCATTGTAAGCTTAACCTCTGGATGTTCTGTAATCAGCAGTGTGCACCGTTCTTAAATATTGATGTCAATTTTGTAGTCAGTATGTTTTATATCAAATAGAAAACTTCATTTAGAAAGTTTACATTACTGCCATAATCTCTTGAATACTTGTGTATCTTGTGTGCAGTTTCCTTATGCTTGTAAAGGATATGGAATGTACAAGTATAGAAGTTTCCTTGGTGTTTTGCTTTTTTTCTTTTCAGTTCTGTTTCAAAGTTCTCTGTTTACTGGGAAAGTAGTCTCTTAGAGAAATGTGGTTTGGGACAGGTACTTTCAGTAAATTTAAAGCTGATGCTTCTTGGAGAAAATTTAATTTATCTTTTCTCCACATAAATTTTATCAACCATACAATTTTTCTTTTAGTGGGAGAATCTAATTGGAAACACAGGGATGGCTTACAGTAATAGATGTTGACTCCTGTAATGCCCTGGTAAATTACTTTCATTTTTGTAATGAGCATAATCTTAAAGATCAAGTAGTTGAATATTGTGCTGTTCTTCAGAGGCAGGGTTAAATAAACTGGTATTCTGAGCTGATTTAATTATTTACCTATTAAAATAGAATAAGGTCTGAAATATCAGTGATGGTGTCCTCTTTACAGATGTTCAAGAGTACTTCTGAAACTTAGGTGACTACAGCCTCTTGGTGCCTGGGTGTATTACTTTCTTATTACAGAATAAATAAAATATATTTTTTAAAAAATATTTTTGGATACTCATTATTTAGATTTAGTATTCTCCTGTTTGTTTGCCCATACAGAGAAGGCATCAACTTCCCTACAGTTTGACAAGCAGAAGTAGCATCTTGGTTACCTGCTGTACTGCAGAAGTCCTTGTCCTAAGAACACATCTGTGTTGTTTTAGTTCTTAGAAGGCATCTGCATGCATCTCATTTGCTGTTGTGGGCAGAATATCAGGTGCATGGTGGATACACAGATTTTATTCTTCCCTCCCCCCGCTCAGCAGCCTATGTAGATCCCACTCTCAGGATGATTCATGTGTAGGTCAGCAGCAGAATAAATCTTCTGTCTTTGCCAAGTCTTGTGCACTATTTAGGAATATTGAAGCTCACAAAATTCATGAAGGAATAAAAGCATTTTCTTCTGAGGCTATCAGACTTGCAAATGAGCTGCCAGAGGGACACAACAGTCAGTCACTGTTAGAATGTGATATACAACACCTTTTTTTTCAATAAACTTTTCCTTCTGAAACAGCATATATTAAAAAGAAATGCAAATGTATAAAATTGCTTTTTGTAGAAAAGAAAATGTAAATACCCCAATCATAATTGTAAGGGAACATTTCTAAAAGTTTTTTAATGCTTAAATAAAGGCACAGTACAGAAAGAATAAAAGTTTAAAATACAAATGTGTAAAGTGTTCTTTAGGTTGCTGTTGATCAGTTTCTGCCACTTTTATTTTTTCCCTACGCTGTCTTCCTCTGGTTGGTAATTGTGATTATCATTGTAGTCACTTTGATGAAAAAGGACTGTATTTCAGCTGCAGTATCAGTGCCTAGTTGTGGTAGAGGTGTGAAAAAAGGTAATTGGAGGTAATGTCTGTGAAAATACTATTTGCCAACATTACTTAAGGAACATGAGTCTTTCAGCAGTTTTCTGGTCTTGGTAGCTCCTTGACTCCTATGGCTATTAGGCCATCAGCTTTGGGGTTTTTTTTAAATACTTTATTTTGTTGATGTGTCTTTATATAGAAGAATCTTTACAGTCAACATGTATTTCTAGATGCTGTGTTAAAATTGCTGGCAGAGTCTATTTTTCTATACAAACTGAACAATCTGGCCCCTTGTTTTATTTATAAAGGTTCAATGTATCTTTGCCTGCCTACATCAATCTGCAAGGGAGTGTCAGAAAGGCCCCGCATTCGCCGAGCCGTGAGTTATCAATAACTTTTCAGATGTGTTAATGAATGTGGAACAAACGCAGTTATGTGTTTAAAAAAATAAAGATCCACCTCCTAAAAAGAGAAAAAAAAATAAGAAGAGCAAAACTCTTTACTGCAGTAGTAGGCATGATTATAAAGGGATTACTCTGAATTTTTAGTAGTATAAGTAGAACCAAGCAGTGAGGTTGCCCTCTAGAAAACCTATTGTTGAACTGCTTTGAAGCTCTTTGGTGTGTGGGTTACAGGTTTTACCTGTTGCATCCTGCAGGCAAATTAAGCTTGTGTTGTTTATGAAAGCTTTTGTTTACTTAATAATCTGAAACATGGCCCATCTGAAAGTGCTATATATTAGCATCCTACACATAGAATGAATATTTTAAAATCTGATTACATAATAATAAGAAAGGTTTGACTAAAATGATACAGGTTTTTTATTCCTCTCTCCTGTAGTTAACCTCAGTAGTGAATATGGCTTCTTGAATTGTTTAAGAGATTCAAATCTGGAAGTTTAGAGTTTCAAATCATGAAGCCATTAAAGAAAACTTGAATAACTGCAAAATGTATCTAAAATATGCTCTCTAAGTATATTCTCTAATATACTCTCTAAAATATTTGATGAAATGGAAGAGGCTGCTGTCTGAGCTCACTGTATGGCACTTTTTCTCCCAGCAGCTCTTTCTGCTTCAGTAATTCACCAGTAGGTTTTCAATTAAGAGAGATCATCTCAAATTATGTTTAAAATAAAAGGCTGCATCCTTAGAGAGATTGAGGTGTTTTATCATGCCTGTGTCTTAACAAGAAGAGAGCCATTGCAGTGATCTCTCTTCTGAATTTCAAACAGAGACAATTATTTTACTCAAAGGGAGACACCTTCAGCCCTCATCCCCAGAATACCAGCTGGTTACTTTGTTCTGAAGACTTCAGGTCTTGCTCCAGGAAGGGATTATTTAACCTTGCAATTGAACTTCAGTGTCTGGGCACGTTGATGCTTCTGCTGATGCAGGAGCTGCAACCTGCCACAATGAAGATGTAATTAAGATGTTCCAGCCCAACAAACAGCACATAGAAGAAAAAAGGTTTATCATATGGAGATATGCAAACACCTCTAAAATATTTTGCATATAGGCTATGCCCGTATGTTTGATTTTTTTTTTCAGGTTTGTAAGCATTTAAAATCATTCTTCTGTCAACTCTTTATGCTACTCCCATCAGATTTTAAAGGGTGCATTGCATCCAAGAGCAAAATCATAAAACGAGTATCAGGTGGGATTTGGTGAAGACTCTATGTGTTTCATTTTGTGTTTATGAGGCTGCTTTGATATGCTAATTCTTGCATAGAAATACGTCACTATTTCATGCAAAGTCTGAACAGAGAATTATATAGCTCATTTAACAAATGCTACTGTATCATAGTGTTTTTAAGATAATACTGACTTTCTGGTTTTGAGCACTTTTCCTGCTGCATTTTTGAAGGGGAAGTGTGAGAGGATTTTTAAATAGCATTATAAAGCATTAAAAGACACATTTGTGGTTTTGGTGTTGTTTGCCAAAGAAGCATAGAGTGTTTTGAGTTGTAGCTTCCATAGACCTTCAGTATGTGACAGGGCACTGTTAAGGCTTTGCATGTAACCTGCAGGACATGCGTGACTGCCGCAGCTTTCTGACCTGCAACGTGCTGCTTTCTGTATTGCAGGCGACACCACCCGGCAGCGGATCAAATTCAGCGATGACCGAGTGTGCAAGAGCCACCTGCTCAACTGCTGCCCCCATGATGTGCTCTCTGGAACTGTACGTAGCTGAGTTTCCTGTTTTATTTAACTTATTTCAATAAGTGCAGAAATTGAATGATATGTGTTCTTTGTAGTATTTCCTTACATTTCATGGGTTTCAGTGACTATCTAGCACTCTCTGGTAGTTCAGAGGAACTTTTAGAAGCAATTAATTTCTGGGTTTTGAAGTTAATTTTTAGAATTCTTCTGTTCTATATGCTAATTATTACCTGAATTTCATCGTTTACATGAGAAGCCACGTAAGGTTACGGATGTGAGTTGTGCTATAGCAGAGTGGCCTTACAGTGGTACAGTTGCAAGTAATAGAAAGAAATAAAATATATTGTATGTATAAATTATGAAGTTACTTTCTTAAAAAGGTATGTTATAGTGGGAGAGTGTTCCACAGATGTATTTGTATAGAGAAGTAAAGAGATTTTTTCTCTTCAGAAATATTTTAATGAAAATAATTGAAAGTTCAAATCATTAAATTTCTAAAAGTTTAGATATGTTTACTATGATAATGACACTTACTGTACAATATACAGTTACAGTGCCATTGTCATAAATTCTAAAGCAATTTTTAAATCTCAATTAATGGCATATTAATAACTTGTTTGACTTGGACATTTGTGCACTCTGTAGTAGAAGTTCCACTAGGTGAGGATAGGGAACAAGGGGCTCTGACACAGTAGCTTTGCTTTGTCAGTGTGCTTGTGCTTCACCTTGTGATACATATTTATGGTAGCTTCTTATTTTGTGAAAGGCAAGTGAGGAATATTTCACTGATTATTTGATCTAATGTTTGATTATTAGAGTAATTAGTAGTAGAGAGATCAAGTATGATGATAGAGAGTCCCACATGCCTACTGTTCTTATTGCTGCTAGGGTAGCTTTTTTCACTCATGTTGGCACATTTTGTTACCCTTTGGCATCAGGGAAAATAAGTACTGAAAAATCTGTCTGAGGGATTATTTGAATTAGTATTGTGTATCAATGTATATGTAGTTTTATTTTGAACTGTTTTGTGCATTACTGTCCAAACAAAATGGGGGAGGGGGAGAACAATGTGTTTCTTTTCATCATCAACCCATCCCTCAGGTTGGATGGTGCATTGGTTATGTGGTGAGCAATTTAACTCCTGCTTGGGACATACTGGTATGCTATCAAAACATACAAATTGGTCATAATCCACAGGAAGAAACTTGTCAGAGATTTGTTTGACAGCTTTTCATTGTGATCCAGTTTCTATAAACAAACATCTCTATAACAGCTGTAAGTACAGAAGTGTTCATTTTCAGAACTATAATGGTATCATGCAGTAGCACCTCTTACACTGCAGGTGAGTCATGTCAGCTGGGGCAGCTGACACAGTTTCAGTCCTCAGTGGAGGTTTTCTTCAGCCTCATACCAGATTTTGCTGCAGCAGCTCTTGGAATACTAAATGAAACTGCTTCTTTAGAGAATATCAGTCTTTTCCTTCCTTCTGCAATTAGTCATCATACCCAGGAAATGTGTTCCACAATGTAAATGTGGATGCAGAAAAGCAGTGACTAGTTTAATCCTTTTAGTGGGAGTAGTAGAAAGGGGACTTAAAAGAGACAGGCTTTACCTGGGCTGTGTGATGTTCTGCTGTTTACCTGGTCATAGATCTACAGGAATGGACCTTCTCTCTTAACAGCAGTTTTTAAAAGGGCAGGAGGCATGGAGTCTTACTGAACAGTTTGTCACTGATTTAGAAAATGACTGTGAAGTTTTCTCCAGAGTTTTGTTAGGAAGATCTTGATGCATCTGTGCATTCAAGACCTATAGTAGCAAAAGTTGAGTGACTTCTTTTTTTTTAATTCAAGTCTCTGAATGCTCCTGAAAGAGTAAATTCTCTGGGGACATTTTATGAGGTTAAGTCTCTATATTGACTAAATTATCAGTAAAATACTGGATATGAATTGCCTTTTTTTGTGTGTGTCACAAGATGATCTACAATTCCTAGATACTGCTTATTCCTGTTCATAGCTGCAAAATGCAGACCTCTATACATCTCTAGCCACCCACTCTTTCAAACCACTCAAGGAGGACATTCACAGATAACACAAGACAAACAAAGTGACTCATATGAGTAGGCCTTGTTATTTTGGTGTGTTCTTTCCCTTAATAGCCAAATTCCCAAAACTCTGCAAAGGCTTTGATTTCCCTTGACAGTAAAAACCTGTGTTCCTCAGGTTGCAGTATGTGTTGGTAAAGGTGTAGTGTGTTTATAGGTTTTTTTAGGGATTGTTTTATGGAAATGTTTTTGTTCTACTAAGTTGCTGGGTTTTAAACTGGGAAATTATAAGTCAAGCAGTCAGAAGTATCTCTGCCTGGTGAAGGTGTTTTTGCGTTAATGATCACTTGGATACCAGTTATAGATAAAAGTCAGTGGTTTAAGAGCTTGCTCATTCATTTTGAGCTGAAAATTTTACAAGAAATTAGTAAGACTTTGTAAACCCTGGCTGATGAGACAGTGAATAATTTTCCTACTTGCAGCTAGCAGGTTTTTTTTTTTGGTGGCTTTCTTGGTTGGTTTTTTGATTGGTTTGTTGTTGTTGTTAGGATTTTTATTTGTTTGTTTGTTTGTTGCCTTACAGGGCTAACACTATTACTTTTACCCTTAATGCTTCTAGTCTTTTTGTTGTTTTGGTTTGGGGTGGGTTTTTGTTTGTGGGTGTTTGGGTTTTTTCTTTACAAAAAAGTTTGTTAATCCACATTCTGATATTGAGGACTGAAGCTGCATGTGTAGGAGTCAGCTGACTCCCCCATAATGGTACAAACCTGTTGAGCAGTGTTCTCTGGATGTAAAGAATAAGATGTCTGTGTTTCTCTATCTTTGTACGTTCCTGAATGAATAGCGGAGTAGTAATGAAAATTACAAGGTGGGAAGATTTAAAACTAACACCTTTAATAAGGCTATTAGTAAGTAGCAGTGTCCTGAATAGTTGTAACCCAGTAGCTGTCTTTGAAAAATCCCAACACTTCTGCATTAATCTGGCTTCCTTACCAACTTGATTGTGCTTCCCTGATGAAGAACGTTTCACAAATACTGTACGTGGTCTTGCAAACAATGGTTCAGCAACTTTTATCTGCTCAATGAATTAACTTTGTATTTATGTGTATTTATAGAGGAAAAAATAATATTTCTTGCATTTTATTTATTACAGACCTGAAAAGATGCTCTGTTGGCTCATCCTGCAGTTAAGCATATCTTTAGGTGCTCCTGAATTTATTGCATGGATCTCTTCAGGGCTCTTACTGACTAAACACCACATTAATCAAGACCCTGGTTTAGCAATATACCTGAATACCTTGCTAACTTTAATCTTATTAGGAGTGGAATTCAGCTCCAGATTAAGACATCTAAATTTGGATTTCAGCTGAGGAGCTGGGTGTTGAAGCTTGCACTGAAGCTAGAAGGTTTCTAGGCAGTGGAGCCTGGAGAAAGATGGAGTTCACCTGCCCATGGGTATCCCTCTTGTGGTGGGCTGAATCCATTTAGGCTCACTGAATGTACTGTCTGCATCTCCTTTTACTGTATAAGAGAAGTTTGGATAGCTCACACACATGCAGATAAATGTTAGTAAGGAGTTTTAATCTGCAGTTGATTTATTTGCCAGTAGTCCCACTCTGGAGCGATTTGTATGCTTAAAACTTGTGATTTGGGGTGTGACTGATTTTATGCTGTACTTCTAGAAAAAGCATTAGAAGCTGTTAAAAGGCATTGTGTCTGGGGGTATCAGTTTTTCAGTTCAGGACTGATTTGATCACGTGAACTGTTTCAGCTTAGCAAATCAAATTGAATTAGGCTTGCATAAGCTACCTCAGTTTGAAGCCTTCAACCCAGTGGTGATGAATTGTGAGGTGCACTGCTGTCCTCTCAAGTGATCATGTCAGTCTCCTGAAATGTGTTCTTAGTTTCTTTGGTCAGCACCAGGAAGGTGAACTGATTGTGCCACATTCCGTTTTAATGGGTTTAATTTATTGAGAAGGAGGGGGGGTTGTTACTTTCTGCATGGTTATCATTAATGTGTTAATATATTTTATAGTCAGGCTAGAAGAGCAAATACTATGTAAACAGTGAAGTATCTTATTTGATAAGAAAGAAGAAATCATCACTACCAAAACTAGCAGCAGTCTAATTTGAAGTCTTTAGAAGTGAGAGTATGGGTACAGGGAGCAATGCCTTTTAAAAAGTTTTGTACTTCAGAAGATATGTGAAATGCAGTGGTTGCTAAGGACTTCAACTTCATAATTTTTGCATCTTTTTTACTCAGCATTTCTTTCCTGCTAGTGAAGTCCTACAAAAGTTAAAACTGTTAGTGAAGTCAGAGAACTTAAATCCTCTTCTAAATATATGTTGCCTACAAGAAAGGATGGGTTTTGTCACAAGTCTAGAAATCTGTTCAAATTAAAATTGGTAGTGCAGCTGAAGAATGCGTTCCATAATAAGGAAGATTTCAGCGAAGAGTCTGTCTTCAGCTTCTTTTTATCAGTAGTAGGTGTTCTCATACAGACCCTGGTAGTGCCTTGACATTTTGATAAAGGAAGAGATCTGGTTCCTCCAGTATCAATTTTTCAGCAATGTCAGATCTTTCTAAGCAAACAAACAAAAACTTCTTCTCTTGCTGAATGTCAACTGCTTTGGTATCTTTGTATCTAAAAAGAAATATCTACACAAACACTGCCCAGAGTATTTTCTTTCAAAAACCTGTCAAAGATACCTGCTGGTTTTAAAAGTATTTGATAGTTTGTGTTCCTGTGTCACTTGGCTCAACATCAGCCCTTTTGTGTTTTAAGTACCTTCAGCTTTTTTGTGCTTTTTCTGCGGTCTGTACAGAGTATATTCAGCAATCAAATTTCTACTGTCAAAGGAACTTGTAGCAGTTGTAGAAGTGCTAAAATGAGAATTTTGCTGTACGTAGGTAGCTCAAGAGCTAAAAAGGGGCAGAAAAACCCCACCTTAATTTCATTTTCCAGAAACAGCAGCATATGAGAGTTTAGTTTCCTATTTAGTTGTTTGTCAGCTACTCAGAGTGCACATTTATTTTGCAAATAAACTCTACAGACAGATGCTCTACTGCCAGATTCTTGGCCAGCTCTTCCTTGTTAACTTGTAATTAATTCATGTGGTAATTGTTTTTCACCTGATTTGATTGAAGCAGCACTATGCAAAGAAAATGTAATCCATATTTCTTTATTATACCAAAGAGATTCTATTTTGTGGATGGGATGACAAAAATTATTACTAAATAATTTTAATACAAAGGGGTTTTTTTATGAAAGACTAGTTTTTTAAACCTCAGCTCTGGGAAGTCAGTCATCTTTAACTGCCTATCTAACACTAGGAAATAAAAAAAATATTGTAGAAAGTGGTCAGCAAGTACTAGAATGCACTAGTTTCTTAAGTAGAACTCAGCAATAACAAAAGGATTCCTGATACCCTGCTTTATATGTGGCTACCTAGACTAAACTTTATCAATAACTTTGATGTGAAATAGTCTTCAAATATAGAGGCTTTTCTTCAGATTTTAATCTCGGTGCAGAAAGAGCCGAAGCGTGGCTTACCAGACTCTGTGAACTTCACTTATGTCTAGCCTGGGGACTTGGATGATTTCACCTTTCTTTATTTGTGTTGTTCATCTGAACTGCTCTGTAAATCACTTTTAGGAAGTGTAATTCTGTCTGAAAGTCAGTGTATTGACAGTGTGTGTTCTTTTTAAGCCTTCCATTAACTCAGTCTCTGAGCATGATTCTCCCTCTTGGCCATCTTCTGTTTCAAATGTGATTGATCTTTAAATGGCAGACTACCAATGCTTATTCTTTACCTCTGGGGGAAGAGCATGTCTTGGCACCAAAATGCAAGGTGGAAAAGGAAAATAATGTGTCTTACTGTATCTTCTGTCCATTTTCATCTGCTGTCCATCTGCTTTTTATGAGCCAGATTGTGCTGCTAGCTGCTCTGTGCTCGTTAAGGTTCTTGGCAGTCATGACCCAGCATAGACTTCTGACAGTAATGAATCATCCCAAGATAAGTTGTCTTTGCCTGATGTTGCATAACTTGCACCAGCAGAAGTGCTTTTTAGCCTGTTTTTGCATTTAATGTGCAAACTTATTAAAGAGTTTTATATGTGGTGGGCTTTTTAGATCTCTTTACATTGGGTTTTGCTTAAGGAACTTTTATGAAAGACATTTTGTACTAATATTTCTGTGAAGACTTACAAAGGATTACCCAGGGCTAGTATAGGCTGTGTTGAGGAGCAGTTCCAGCAATGATGTAATTTCTTCAGCAGCAAAACTAGTGATAAAGAATCCTTTTCTCTTGTACCTGCTTCTTCTTGCTCCCTGTTAGGCCACCCTGTTGAGTCAAAAGGGGGAAGGGGAGCCAAAATTTCTTCTGTTGTGATTGAGACATCTAACAAAAAGGAATCATAACATATTCCCTGTCTCCCAAAACTTCCACTAACATTACTGAAGATTTTCAACAGTTTTTGAATTTGCCATCTTAATACTGTAAGACACCCCAGCTTCTTAAGTTCATTCAATACTGTGTTGTCCCCTACACACCCTCAGCACATTGTTTGTATGGCTGCCCAACAAGTTGGACAAAGGTATGCTGATGAAAAATTTGCCTCTCTGTTTGGTTTGCTAGGATGTTTTTTACCCTGTCACCACCCAGATTGTGTTCAACAGCACAGGCAGATGGGCCAGCATGGAAGTGGCAGGGAGAAGGGGAGGACAGAATGTTTCTCTGGAGTAATGCTGGCTCAGACTAATTAGCAGCCTTTCAGGCTTTGGATTTACAATTCCCAGTAAGAGGCAAAGAAATCAGAAAATGTACTGTTTTGTGGAGGTGGAATGCAACCTAAATAAAGAGAAAAGGCATAAAACACATGTAAAGTGAACAGCAAGTCATGGTAGTGTTACGTGAATTATGAGGGTTTTTAGTGTGTGATGGAATTTTATTTTATGCATTTATTCAAAGTGTATGCAGGTTGGATGTTAGAATGGCAGGGAGGGTTGTGTGTGGTGGATGTGTTTCAGGCTTTTTGTCACTATATTCAGACCTATTGAAGTGTGTCAATCTAACCTTATCTATGCATTTATAACTTCAGAATTGTCCTTGAATTTTATAGTTTTAGCCTTTAAGACCTTATTCAGTACAAGAGATGAATCAGCATAAAATCACTCTTCTCACAATTTTAGGATAATTTTCAAGTGTCTAATTTTCAGATAATTTTTAAGGTTTTTTTGCATTGCTCTCCTGGTATTGAAGTACTTTCCTGAAAAAATGCTTCAGTTTAAATAGTGTCAGCATGGCTTGGAAAGAGACCTCTATAATACATTGCTCAGCTTCAAGGTCTTTGTGGATTTGCATCAGTTAACAAAATTGCTGAGGGCCTGTATAGCTGCAAAAGAAAAAGCTAATCTTTTCCTTTATCATTGCAGTCAGATGTTCCCCATTGCAATCAAATGTTTTCCGGAAAACAGATTTATGGTAGCTGAAGGGGATTTAAATAACTGCAGTTTATAAAAAACCTTTTCAACTTCAAAATTCTTTATTTTACCAATGTAGGCTTTTTTCTCCATCTGAAACTTCTGTATGAAATAAACCAACAGCTTCCATAAAAATTACTTTAATGGTTTCATTGGAAATCCAAGTAAAAATTTGAAATACTAAAATAATTGGGGCTTGTTTATTTTACTGTACTTAAATCCAAGTATTTTATTAAAAACAAGCAAACAAAAACCAAAACCCTCACTCACTTAACTTGCAGCATATTCTGAGTTAACATTCATCTTCTATTTACAAAACTCACAATGCAAGTTATTAATTATTTTAGGTTTGGATTTTAAATTGTTATTTAACTGCAAGAGTAACAGCTTTTTCCATCAGAGTTCAATTTTCATCATGTGCTTTAATGTTAAGAAAGGATTAATTGTTCTTAATATTAAGTGAGCACTGCCTTAAGAGCAGACTTAACTGAAACTGCTGCTTTTAAATGCTGTAAATAACAGTCACTTCCAATGATTCTATATTAGCCTGTGCTGTTGCAGAGAGGCTGCTTTGGGTTCATTCACTTCTGTTTCATTACTGATTGTTTGGGGGTGGTGGTTTGGGGTTTTTTCGTGGTTGTTTGTGGGTGGAGTTTTTCAGTTTGGTTTTTGTCGAGTGCACGTTGCTCTGTCGCCAGACCTGTCGTGACCAGACTGAATTAGAATTTCTTATGCCATCTCCTATGCAAAATTCAATTTAAAACCAGTAGTCATTACCCAGTAAGATTCTGGGCACTCTCCTCAGTGGCATTGTATGCAAGATAAGTGATGCAGCCTCCTTACTTTTTACATCCGTGCTTCCTTCCTGCCCCTTCTAGAATGGTTTTAGATTACAAGTGAAGTTTTTTCTTCCCTGGTTCTTGAACATACTCCAACGTTTAGCTCATCTTCCCTCACTTGCAAAACATTTTGCAGGGATTTGATTTTTGGTTGTGCTACTTGAAATGCTTCAAGAATGTTTTTTAAGCAGCACTTAAAATGGTGCTGTGGTTGTAGCTCTTTGAGGTGATGAATATAATGGAAACACATTATCATGCAGTGTGCAGACAGGTTCAGGTCAAGAATTTGACCATTTAATTGCCAGTTATTTTCATGGAACTTGGCTCTACTAAACTGTTTAAGTTCAATCCATGATGTTCCACTTCAGTCACTTTTTTGAACTTCTAGTAAAACAGCATTTTTGCAGGACATCAATGATACTTTGTAATGCAAACAGCCATCATGATTAAGATAAGCTGTTCATTCAGTCTGCTGTTATTATTTCTTGATTCATGCATGTCTATTAAAGACCTGGTATAATCTTACAGCTTTGTTAAACTCTCATTACCACAGGGGAGATGACTTGCTTCAGAATATTTGACAGTTAAAGAAAATCATGCTACCCTTATTCCTTGTAACACATCTGAAAAGTTAAATCACATTGCCTTTGTCTTTTCAGAGAATGGACCTTGGAGAATGCCTGAAAGTGCATGACCTGGCATTAAGGGCAGACTATGAAATAGCATCCAAAGATCAAGATTTCTTCTTTGAGCTTGATGTATGTATTTTGTCTTAATAGTGGAGAGAAAGCATTAGTTTGTGTACTTGGGTGGATAAACTGAGCAACAGATTTTGTGTTACAGACTGAAGGAGGACTTATGAAAAGCAATTTTATAAAGAGGCAGAGAAACTTTTGTCACAGTTACATGAAAGATACTTGCCTCTTCATGATAATATGCTAATTTGGTAGTCATCTCTAGGAGAACTGTTAACAGCCTCTCAGAGTATGATAAACCTGAGTGCTGTCTTAGTTTTGTCAAATAGCAAGCATATGTTAAAACTGTGTATGCATGCTTTGAAGAGAGTTTTAAATTCTACACTTAACAAAGAAAGTAATTTGATATTGCAGATAATAAATCATATACTGTGTCTCCATACACTGTAGTTTGTTTTGAACTCCCAGCTAGGAAGTTAGTCTTTGCTATGACAAAAGGGTTTGGGTTTTTTAATTCTTATTTGGAGGGATGGTTAATATACCTGCTTAAACCCTAGTGAAAAAAGTTTCAGTATTGCTTGTCACAGCTGGATGAAGTGATCCTAAATAGCCTTCCAAGAAATTTAATGCCACTAGAAATACTCACTACTGCTTCTTCTTCTGTCTTAAGACAGATTCACTTCCAAAATTCTGCAAATACTTAGAAACTATGGCAGTGTGTAGATTATAATTTTTTAACCATCTCTATGAATATGTGTGATTAGTCAGCATAAACCGGTAGATTATTGTTTCACTAATCACTAATTAAAACTTGTGAAAGTGAAGCCTTAATAAACTGAAGAATAACTGAAGCTAATTTATTAATATTTTGACAGCATTGATCCTTGTTCTTATTGATGTTTTAGGCAATGGACCACCTGCAGTCATTTATTGCAGACTGCGACCGGCGGACAGAAGTGGCCAAGAAAAGACTAGCAGAAACCCAGGAAGAGATCAGTGCTGAAGTTGCAGCTAAAGTAAGCATGGCAGACAAGTTATTGCTTTTTTTTTGGAGGCCAGTTTTTCTAAGGAGACAGTTTCAAGTTTTGAAAATACATCAAATCTGAGAATTCCTACCGAAGAAGGGGGGAAAAGTAATACATTTTTCCTGTCCTTCCTAAAATTGCCTTTTAAGGCACAGAAGAGAACAGAAGGAAGAGACCTCTCTGATATTTTTGACCTCAGGAAACTTGGTTTTGAATTCATGTTAGTAATTCTTACACTTTTTGATCCAGCCTTCCTCTATAAAGTAAACAAAATCAATATCCTTTTCTCTATATCTTTTTTGAATGAAAAACCTATAATGTTTCTGTGCATATATGCAAATGCTAGGAGAAATGGTTGTACAAATATTAATTTTTCAAGACTGTCTTGGATAAGTGTAAATTATTTGCAGTTTGCTGAACAAAATCCTTTTTCTGGAATTTTACATAGACTTGGTAACTCAGCCTTTTTCTATGTTCTTTGCAGAGAGGCATTTTCTGTTTTAGTTCTAACTGGAGAAGTTCTCTCTGTGTGTTTCTTTTAATTCTGTCCTTCTAATTTTTCACATCATAACTCAGTAGTAGTTCAGATTGTTTTCCATAATTAAAAGTATTTCCTGTGTTAAGCCTTTTCTTGTCTTTCAAGGCTGAAAGAGTTCATGAATTGAATGAAGAAATTGGGAAACTGTTGGCCAAAGTAGAACAGCTCGGAGCTGATGGGAATGTGGAAGAATCTCAAAAAGTAATGGATGAAGTGGAGAAGGCTCGGGTAAAGAAGAGAGAAGCAGAAGTAAGTTGATTGTGTAAGGATTGGGGGATGGAGAGGGCAGGGTCAAATATTAAATTGCTTGGCCTCTGTGTAGTGCAAGACATCTCTGTCAATTCCTCAGCTAACTGCTACATATAAAACTAAAGAAATTGCTTTGTGGCATCCAGTTAAAGTTTCTGCCCTCGATATACTCCTATACCATTAAAATTGTACTTCCTTGCACAAATGATGCATTTATCTTAGTTGGGCTGAGTTGGTCAGTTGTATCTGTGAACACTAGCTTTGTGGCTGTGATGGTTGCACCTGGTTTGGTCTCATGGCTCTTGCTATGGCAACCCTGTTGTAACCTCATGCTGGAAGGCTTCAGTGGAGTGGTCCATTGTCTTCACTAAAAGAGAGTTCATGGCTTGTGTGTCAGGAAAGTCAGAATGATCATGGTAATGTTCACGTGACAGAATTCACCAAGAGCTCTTCCATATCGTATTACACAAGGATACTGAAATTTCTGGAAACCAGTATCTGCAGCTGTTTCAATAGTACCAGAAGGATTGCTGGCAGTCTTGCTGATCTATCATCTGAATGTCTTTAGATAAATTTTGCTCAGATAATGTGTTCAATTACTGTCTAAAAAGCAGGTAAATTTCTCAGGAAACTAATGCTGTTTTAAATGGTATTCAGAATTAAAACTAGTGTCATATTTTCATAATACATCAACATAGTAATTGTAGTGTTACTGTTTATTCATTGTTGTACATGAAAAAGTACATCATCCTTCTATATAATATAAAGGTAGTAATTACCCAACTTTTTTTTTTTTTTTTTTTAGTTTGCAAAAACGGTTGATGTCCTGCTTTTAAATGTGTTCAGTTTTCACAATAAGGAAACATGCCCTGTATCTTAGTGATACACTTAAGTATGAATAGTGTGAATTAACTAAAGGGTGTTCTGGTGTACATTGAATTTGGTTATTTGTAGTGTATCTTCAGTGAAGTGTCATCCTTTTATGTGCATTTTGAAGTAACAGCAAATGTTTTTCTTTTCTAGGAAGTATACAGGAATTCTATGCCTGCCTCCAGCTTTCAGCAGCAGAAGCTACGGGTTTGTGAAGTGTGCTCGGCTTACCTTGGTCTTCATGATAATGACCGACGACTTGCTGATCACTTTGGAGGAAAACTACATTTGGGATTTATTGAAATAAGAGAGAAGCTTGAGGAACTCAGGGTAAATCATTCTTACATTTTTTGTGTGTGCTCCTACTTAATTATTTGCCAGGCAGCCTTAATGGAGTATTTCTTTCTCTGTGTGTGATTTTTTTTTTTTCATATCTCTTTAAACTTTGGGAGTTCATTAGCCTAAAACCACTAAATATTCTAATTTAGCATCAATTACCTGGATAGTGACCTCTTTTGCACTGAGGTAGATTAAAACACACATTCAAAGTAATGCATCTTGGGAGCTAAGAACTTGAATCTCTTTTTAAAATAGAGAACTGTATTTTGAGTGAACAACAGCAATGTTGAAACATATTTAGCAGTTATAGGAGATAGCCAAATGAACTTTGGTTTGAGCCAGATGATTGACTAAAAGTAATAAGGAGATTCTTGACAAGAGCATGCAGTAAGGAGGATAATAACACTTGGAAAAGTTTTCAAAAAATGTAAAGAAATGCTTGGAACTCAACTTGCTGTATAATGAATGACTAAAACTCAAATTGTCTATTTTACCTGGACAAAGATTAAGAAATTATTTTGAATAGAATCTAGCAACTCAAGGCTGTAGCTATCCAAAATGGGAATACCAAATTATGTATATCTTGAAGTCAGAAATAATTGCTATGGGGATGGTGCATGTTCTCTGTAGCTCAAACATTTGAAATCCAGTTGGAATATTATAACCTATCTTGACCAGAAATCATATGCTGGGAGAAAGACTTACTGGAATGATATTTTGGACCTCTGGTTTTCAAGAGGATGGATTTGAACACTGATGCCATTTATGACCTTAATTTATGACAAATTATGGAGTTCATAGTTCAGTTAAGCAATTTAACTGTAGAAATCAGCAAAGACAGTAGCTAAATTGGTTTAATTCCTCAGAGCAGGAATTGCTGCTACTGGATTTGAATAAATGGACTGGTTTATGTTCTGTAATATTCCAGCTGTCTTGCATGGATACTGAGACTTGCCCTTTGGAGAGCCAACTCTTCCTGTTGATGTTGCCAATTCAGGCTCCTAACTATAGCTGGTGTAACTTAAATCTTAGATTTAAGCCTAGAACAGGTCATGTGTACTTCCTCTGATCCCTCCATGAAATTATGCAAAGAGTCACTTGAACAAGAAACCTTGCTTGTAGCTAAATTGCTGATGTTGTAGAACGAAATATAGATATAATTTGACAAAAAGGGTTGAAATAACTAATTATTTACATCATTTGGAAAAAAATATGCATGGATAACTATTTCACATTCCCAAAGCATCAATAAATTAATCTTTCAAAGTGCTTTGCTGATAAAGAAAGAAAACAATAACTATCCCCTCCTTCCTCAGAGCTCTCCTCAGAGATCTAATCAAGATGCTGCTGGGGCAATTCCACCTCTCAGAAGAAGGTCTTTACAAAGAGTTGAATTTCTTGCATCATGTCCAGAAGGTGGCAAGACTTGGGTTTGGCCAGATCTCCAGTTGTGAGTTGCACACCTGAGGGCCCTCTACTGAGCGTGCCTTGTCCCCAGTAGTAGTGAGTTCACCCTGGGGGCTATCAGCTGAAGCATCTGCTCTAACTTTATCCCACAGTCATAGTACAGAAACAAGTAGCCTCAAAACTTAGGTGTTGGCCCAACCAAGTCCTTTAAGAAACAATTAACTCTCCCACTTCTGATTGCTTTCTGCCTTTCCCCAGTGTCCAAAATATGATAGGATTGGCATGAAAACTCTCACATTAAAGGCATGACTTACTGTTCTGAATTCCCCTTTATTAAAAACTTAATATTTAACTGCATATTTCAGGTCTTCATGTAACACCCATGTGCAGCTCTTCTGCAATAACTTCTGTTTCTTCAAGAAAAAAAATAAAATATATGTATATATCCTGAGGAAGAGAGTGGGAATAATATACACAAGGGAAAGGGGATATGCCTGAGGGAAAGAACTGAATGTTAACTGTCTAGATTATTTTTATAGCACCTTCATGTGAAAAATTTTTTAATATAACTTAATATATTCTTTTACTTTCAGAGGATTGTGGCTGATAAACAGGAGAAACGAAATCAGGAACGTCTGAAACGTAGAGAGGAGAGGGAAAGAGAAGAAAGGGAGAAACTAAGGAGGTAGGGATCTGTTTTAATTGCATGTACATTATGACCTATTTATGTTTAATAAGAAAACTGATACAGTTCATACACACTTCTAAATAGGCAGAATTGCAATAGTTTGCATTTCTTGGAAACTTAGAAGGATTGAGACGGAATTTCATTCTAAATCTTAAAACATGGAATTGTTCTCATAAAAAGCATTTTTAAAAACTGCTGATAGTATTGTCTCTAGAAATTTGAACAAAGGGCCTTTGGGTAATTTTCAGGTGTGTACCTTGTTTTGAGACCTGACAGACGTGAGCTTGCATGCATATGAGTGCCTTACATCTCTTAACAATTTCCTTCAGAGATGTTTGAAATTTTTCTTACTGGAAGCAGTTCAGTGTATGATTAAGGAAGGCAGTTCCCTATTCTTCTATGGAATAGTAGCTTCCAGGCCTGGTGGGGCTGGAGTGGAATGGAACCTGAGTTGCAGTTCTCTTGACATGTTAAGTTTCAGAGGTTAACAGTGAATTTCTGAAATCTGTTGCAGTTTGGTACTATCTGCCTATCAGGAAATCTGGGAATACTGACTTCCCCTGGAAACTTTTTCTGTGGGAGGGATGTAAGTTAAAGAGCTGGTCAGATAATCTTCTGGGCTTCTAGTAGAGTTGTCTCAAAAATAAATTTTAAAAGACCCAACCAACATAAAACAGGGGTGTGTTTCCTGATAGACGTGTTACAAAGATGTTGACATCAAATAAAAGGCCTTTAAATACTTGCTGCTAAAGCAAGAAGTACAATAACAGGTCAGCTAGTCCGGTTTATTATTACTAAATTGCACTTTATTTGATAGTGAGATTCTCTTAAGAAAAATTACTATTTTCCATTTATTTCAGGTCCAGATCCCACAGCAAGCATGCCAAAAGGTATATAAATCTGCAGACAAGGAATACCAGCGGTGAAGTTAGCCTTTCACAAGCTGGAACATTTTAAGACTGTCTAGCACTGTTAGTTTAAGATGTCCATCTTTACAAACAAAGCTTTCTGTTACATAGTCATCTCTCTGTGTGTTTGTACACTATTTATCACCATGCTACTCAGTTTATACATCTACATCTATTTTGTGGCTATTACAATGCAGCTTCATGTCCCAAGTAACTCTTAAAACACAGAGAATTGGTTTTTCTTTACAAAAGCTTCTGGCTAATACCTTTTAGTGAAAGCCCATGTTTTCAAAATCCCTAAGCACCAGGTTAACTCATCAGATCACCCATGGATAGTATGAGTGTAGTTTCAAATCTACACAGTTGAAGGTCACCAGTGAGGTATGATTGCAAAGTGATTTGGACAGGGGAAAAAAAATAAGAAAATGCCAGATTTGTGTAGTGTTTAGAACCTTCCAGATTAGTTTTGTTGTTGTAGCTATGGGGAACAATATAGTCTGGTTTTTAAAGAACATCATAACACAGATTCTGGCAGATGATCCCTGTCACTGCATCATTAAGTTCTTCTTTCCCTGATACAGATACTAGTTTAAAATGTAAAAAGTAGATTTTTTCATATTTTTATTTGCTTTCAGGAGCCTGAATTTGCTATGCTGTAGCCATACAGTCGTGAATTAACTATAAAATTGTCTGCATTAGGCAAAAAGGAGTTTGTATTCTTTCTGATGTTGCTTTCCCCTGTCTGTTTGCCTGTGAATCAGACACTGCAATGGCTGTGAACACTGCAGGCCATTCATTCTCTGTACAGATGTGCTCCCACATAGAGTGTGTAATGTTCACAGCACTCTGGTGAGAGTGGCTGGGTGAGAGCAGCGTGTGCTGAAAGCCCTCTCTGTTCCTAGGTCTAGGTCCCGGGACCGCCGCAGACACCGCTCTCGCTCGGCCTCACGGGAACGCAAGAGACGGACTCGATCCAAATCCCGCGAGAAACGGCACCGCCACAGGTCCCGCTCCGCCAGCCGCAGCCGGAGCCGCAGCCACCATAGAAGCAGGCACAGCTCCAGGGAGAGGAGCCGAGAGCGCAGCTCCAAAAAGAGGTGAATGTTGCCCTAGAAATAAATGGCTTTTCCCAACACACAATGAGAATTTTCATACTAAATTGAGTTTATGCTTACCACTTAGTAATTTCAACACATTTTGAGTCTGTCTCAGATTTCAGTTACAACTTCAGCATATTTATGATTTGACACACCAGCGTGCTTTATTCTCTTTTTTGTTTTAATATATCAATAACAGAGTTATATATTATTTCTGTTTTGGATGAGTGTTACAGGGTATTTGTGTCAAGTTGATACCAGTTTCATGCAGCATAGGAAGTGAAACAGCTGATTTTCATTTGAACCCAGGGATATCAGCAGTCATCTTACTGTCAGTGCATTCAGGTTTTCCCTTGGGCTCTCGTTCCCAACACCCATCTGTTGTGAACTGCACCAGATGAAAGTAAGTTTAGGTATGTCTGAAAGTAAACTGCATCTGAAGATTGTGCTTTGCAAGGATCTCTCGTGGAAAGATTACTGCAGGGGGCAGGCTGGGGCTGTTGCTTTTGAATGATTCAGTTGTTGTCTGCTCCTGAGGATTGGCTGACTTGTTTACACTAATGAGGAGAGCATAGCTTGAAAGACTTGGGATTGCACAGTGTGGCATACTTCGAGAGCAGTACAGTGAAAGGGTGCTCAGTCTTAAAACCCTGAGACTGTTCACCTACAAGAACATAAAAGGTCAGGTTTTGAAGTGGCCACACATGCGGGGCTTATAGTTCAAATTATTTCAGGAGTTAAATCATAGTTACTTCTGCAGGGGACTTGGGCACAAGGTACTTGATGAACAGTTGAACTAGATCCAGGATGAAGTTCTTATTTGGCATGTAGCTTCTTTTCTTCTGTGACACGTAGTTTGTGGAACAGGGTAATGCCTGTGGATCCCAGTGTTTTTTGCAAGTACTAAGTCTTGCAAAACACTACATTCTAGGGGAAGTAATCTTTCCAGATGAGCAACTAATGTGAAAGTTCGCTTCTTTGTAAGCTTACAAAAGGAAATTAGTAGAGGATTTTGAAAACCTTAGTTTTAAAGCTTGGAGGTTAAGTGATAGTAACTTTCTGTAAGGGGAGAGAGTACAGTCTCATGGTCCAGAGTACCAGATTTTTTGACTAGGAAATGATTGGCTAGCTGTTAAAATTTTTCTGTAAAAATCTGTATGAAAACATTTTGTGATTGCAGTACATGATAAAATACAGATGGAGTGTTTTTCAAAAACAGACCTAAGTGCATCTGTAAGGGAATATAGAGGAGAATGTCTAATCCATTTTTCTCCCATACAAGTAGCTAATTTAGTTTAAAACTTATCTAGTTCATTTAAAAAACAGGTCTTTTCTGTCTCCATCATAAAGGTTTTGAAAATGCCTATTTATCTATATCTAAAAAGAACACTACCCCAACCTTTCAAAGTCACACAAAGGTTAATTCTTATAACAAAATATGGTCGTAGAACAGATTCCAGATTTGGTTTGTGTTTGTCATATAGAGCCTCCCTTCCAGAATTATGCAAGTTCATTTCCCGCTACTTTTAAGCAAACTCCTGTTTTTATATGTGTTTTTTAAGTTTGTAATTTATAGTCTGAGAAAGGCAAGACGCTGTTCTTAAACTAGAGACTGCAAATGAGAAATTTCCACTCCACTCCAGTTAATGTAAACTTGGGGGTAGAAGCTGAAAGAGATGTAGTCAAGCACATTGAACTTAATCTGGGCTCTGTAATAAATGTAGATAAAAGACAAGTACTTTGAGGTAGGATTTAAAGTAGGAAAGGGAGAAGGGTAGAATGATTTGGTGTCTTCTCATACACTTCTGTTTATATAAATGTAAAGCTGGGCTGGAAAAAGAAGAAAAATATAAAACCTAAGTGCTGATTGATAGCTACCAGTTCATGTCTAACTTGAATTCTCAAATGCACTGCACCTTTCAGATCCTCTAAAGAAAGATCTTCCAGAGACAAAGAGCGTTCGAGAGATCGCGATCGAACATCCCGCGACAAAGACAGAAGCTCGAGGGAGAGGTCGCCGCGGGATTTCAAAGACAAGAAACGTTCGTACGAAAGCGCCAACGGCCGCTCGGAGGAGCCGAGGAGCTCAGAGGAGCGTGAAGCAGGGGAGATATAACTGGCTGTATATTCACCTGATCTCTAGCTTCCTATGGAGTTGCATACTTTGGTTTAGTTTACAGTTGTTCAAAGGGACACCAGTGAGCAGTTCCAACACTGATACAACTAGGGTAGATGTACAGTATATAAAAGTGGTTATAACAAAGTCAGAATTAAACCCCATGAATTAATGGTGCCTAAAGCTGGGTCCTGGACTTCCACCAAGTTGTAAAACTTTTCTGAAAGATTTCTCTCTATTCAGGACAACAGTTTTATGTACCAAGATGCAGATCTCAATGTTTTTAATCTCCTTTCCAATACAAGTTAGTGAACAAATTGTATTGTACTACTTGCCTTGGGTGCTTTTGAACCTTTATAAATTCTCCAATTCTGCTCCAGTCAAAACAGCAGCATTGAAAGGTTGTATTTGGGGGGATTTTTTTTTGTTTGCTTTTTTGTAAGAGGGTGGGTGGATGGATATTAACTTTAAGATTATGTTCCCAGTGTTGGGTTTTATTTTTGTTTGGGATCCTAGGAGTTGATTACAGTGGGAGCATTTAGACAGGAATGTGTGCTGGAGAAAGCGGAAATGTCTTTTTACAGTGCCTACTTAGACTTGGAAATTGAACAGCTGTTGCATTACATCTTTTTTATTTCTACTTAAATTTTGAAATCAAAGCCAGTCCCATATCTGTACCATTTGATTGGTATGTGTTCAATATATTTGTTTTTTTTCCAGAAGGACTCTTTCTGCTTTTTCTTGTGGAGTACATCTTTAATTGTATTAAAACAAACAAAAGAACCAGCAAAAACAAACAAAAATTAAGAACAAAAGAAATAAAAAAAAATTTAAAAGAAACCATATTGTCCAATAACTTAACAAGGATATTCTGGTCTGTTAAGGTGGTTAACTGGCAGTTCAGTCATTTTAAAAATATCTGATTATTAGAATTTTTAACGTACAGATGTGCTCTAGGAGAAGCAGTCATTCCTCTTGCAGTCCTGATTATTCTAAAATCTTCAAAAGCAGAAACATGTGGAGACAGAATCATAGAGCATTTTGGGTTGGAAGAGACCTTAAAAATCATCCAGTTCCAACCCCCTTGCTGTGGTCAGGGACACCTATCTCTAGTCCAGGTTGCTCAGAGCCCCATCCAGCCTGGCTTTGAATAGTTCCAAGGATAAGGCATCCACAAGTTCTGTGGGCAACCCCTCACTACCCTCACTGTAAAGAATTGATTCCTAATATCCAGTCTAAATCTACCCTCTTTCAATTTAAAGCCATTCCCCCTTGTCCAGACACTACATGTCATTGTAAAAAGCCCCTCTCCATTTGTAGGCTCCCTTTAGGTACTAGAACATTCTGTAAGATCTCTCCAGAGCCTTTTCTTCAGGCCGAACAACCTGAACTGTCAGGAGTGGTGCTTAATCCCTCTGATCATCTTTGTGGCCTGCTGTGGACCCACTCCATGGTCCATGTCCTTGTCGTGCTGAGGATCCCAGAGCTGGATGCGGCATTGCAGGTGGGGTTGGTGGGGGTCCCACCAGGGCAAAGCAGAGGGGCAGAATCCCTGCTCTCACCCTGTTGCTCACACTGCTTTGGGTGCAGTCCAGGACATGTTTGGCTTTCTGGGCTCTGAGTGCATGTTGCTGGGTTGTGCCCAGCCCCACATTCACCCCAAGTCCTTCTCAGCAAGGCTGCTCTCCATCTGTTCATCCTTCAGTCTGGATTTGTGCTTGGGATTGCCCTGGCCCAGGTGCATCAGCTTGTACTTGGCCTTGTTGAATTTCTTGAGCTTTGCAGGAACCCACGCCTCAAGCCCGTTGAGGTCCCTGTGGATGGTATCCCTTTCCTCCAGTGTGTTGACTGCACCAGCTTGCTGAGGATGCCCTTGATCCGAAGGGGTTGCTGTCTGTTCTGTTGGATTTAAAGTGCTTTGGGGTATTTAAGCTACTCAGATATGCCCCTACTCCCACACAGTAGAATTTAGACGTTGGTAAATTTTCCTTCTTGTGGTCACACCACTGAGTTACCTAATAGTGATGCTTAAGAGCAGTGTTTGTAATGCTCTGTTGGCATTTCCAGCAGGTTCTGCAGCCTGTCTCTCCCTAGTGCAAGTGCCTATGACCGCCTGCTAACATCCTTGTGTAACACCATTCACTCTGTGCATCCCTCCTCAGTGTCATTTCTGTAGCATCTTTGGTATGGTCAGAGCACATGGGTGATAATCCTAACACTGAAGATAATTTAGCAGTGTATTGACTGGCAGTGAAAGCTAGAACAGGACATTTACACCTCTGCAAGGACTTGGATCCAGCACTGCACATTCCACTTTGAATTCACATCATTTTAAGCTGCCAAAGTGATGATGACTAACTACTTAACCATTTATTTATTTATCCATTTGAATTCTGAGCATGAGTTTCCTTCCTGGGACTGTTTCTTGATTTCCTGGATGGCCCAGGTGTTTGTCTGTCTGCTATAGCCAGAGTCCAAGAGCTTGAAAACATCTATCATCACACAGTTGTTAATGGAATTCTAGTGGTGTGACAAAAGGTGACCAGTCATTTCAAATATATCTTACATAGCACAAATGCCAGTGATTCTTTTGGAATTCCTTTCTGGATTATATTCCAGAAATACTCAATACCTGTCTCTGCCTGCAGCCAGCAACTAGAAATTTTGTATTATAAAAAGTGGGAGGAAGGGAGGGTGGGTGAAACTTGCGTACTGTGACAAAACAGTGCCTAGACTCCATGCTAGCAAATTCTGGATAATATGCTATCCATTTTACAAATGGCTTTTAAATTTAAATTGCAGAAGGGAGATTGGGTTTGGGCCTTCCCTTATGTAGAGGAAGTACCACACTTAATGTTAAGCAGGAAGGTATCTCTGATTCCCTCATAAAATAATCTGAATTACTTGTGAAAATACAGGACTGAAGTGCAGTTGGGAAGAAAAAATTAAGATGACTGATGAAACACACTTAGGATGCAACAGATATGGAGCATCTATCAGAAGAGGAGAGTTGTGCCTAAATATGGATCTTCCACTCATCAGAACCCAATGACCTTAATTTCCAGGACTGAAAAACTGAGGTATTCATCACCTGTACATTTCCTGCTGGACAGCTAAAGTGTGGTATGGACTGACCTTAGTCTTCATGGTTAAATAGATTGTGAAATGGAGCTCTTGAGGGAACCTAGGGGTGCTGTAGATGAGCATCAGCTTTTGAGATCTTGGAAATTTTGCTAATGCAGTTGTAGCTCTATAGCAGTTGTTCTCAAACTGAAGATGTACAAAATGAGCAGAAAAAGTAAATAACTGATTTAAAGTGTTTGAACTGCAATGAACCTGCAAGCATCATTCCCATATCTCATAATCAGTCTGGATTAGTCAGGGGAGTACAAAACAAAAAGGTTAAGATGCTAAGGAGCTGGAGAATGGCATATTGCCAGAAATGAGCCTGAACATGGAATGGCAGAATTGGTTACTTTGAAAAAGCCCATCAAGAACATCGGATCCACCCATTAACCCAGCACTGCCCAGCCCACCACTAAACCATGTCCCCAAGTGCCACATCTTCCTGCCTTCTGAGTACCCCCATGGATGGCAACTCAGCCACCTCCCTGGGCCGTCTGGCTCCGTGCCACCACAGCCTGTGTGTTGCTTTTCCCACTGCAACAGGAGGAACCACGCAGTAAAATGGTGACATTTCCAAGCCAAAGCTTGGCCTAGTGCCACTGGATCCCATTACCCAACATAAGACTTGCCCGTGGAGCTGCCAGAGCCTCTGTCCCCATGCCTTCCATCAGCTGTTGCATCTGGGAGTTCCCATCCCATTGCTTCAATGATAGATAGCCCTGCCCGGGAGCCCCTCTCCCCGTCTAGCGTATCTTGCACCACCCATCCCCAGGGGGAATGGGAAAAATAGGTAAACTGGCTCTCTAAGCCAGTGCAAAGTGATGACTGAGCAAATGTTAAATCAAGCAGGGATTATCTATGTAGCAGAAGAGAGAATGGTATCAAGACTTGACCCCTGGGGCCAGTGCAAGGCAGTCGAGGGCTTAGGTGGCTACATCCAAGCAGATAGGTTAAGCTGTATGGGCACAGAAGTTGGATGTTGTAGTCAGCATTAAACTAAGTCTAAATGCAGAATGAGCCACGGTTCAGAGGCATTGGCAGCGTACAGAGTGTTCTGTAGGGGCGTGCACCACCTGATAACCCCTCCTGTTTACTGTTCTCTGTCCCACATTTCACATGCCATCTTCCTCAGTATCACTTTCCTTTATTCCAAGGCAGTAGAGATTAGTTTCTTCTGATGTAGGGGCTTATAAAAAACGTTAATGCACTCTCTGTCCATTCCTGCATGAAAGGGGTTTCTCTTTAGTTTTATGCTATGATCACTTTTTTCCACTTGATTAATAAATTCATGCCCTGTTACTGCTCATGTGATTATTAATTCTTTTCAGTAAGACCTGAAATCTGTCTTTCCCTGCAGTTTGCAAAACTGTGAAGCAGCATCCTGCGCAACATGGAATTTCAGGATCTGACTGGCCACTCCGGGCCACAGGCCCCCGAACACCAACGCCGGCCCTTTTTGGTTGGCAAACAAAACTCACCGGGCCAGGTTCTTGATGGCAGATTGCAGGAGCCACTTGGCACTGCCAAACCAGCCCCAGTCGGCACTGGTGCCTGCTTGGGTCTGGGAGGCAGCCTGCAAATGCCGAATTTCAGCAACCAGCCAGGCCGGACCACAGGCCCCTGAACACTAACGCCGGTCCCTTTCCCCTGGCAAACAGATGTTGCATCAGCAGCTGGAAATGCAAGGAAAGAGGAAGAAATGGTTGCTTCTAGCCCTGGTTTTCCCTGCTTTCCCCTCTGTGGGCATGTAATGGAGTCAGCAGGCAATCAGAAAGTTCTCTCATGACCTTAACTCTCCTGGCTCTGGCTTTTCAGTTCCCATTGCTGGGCAAACTGCAGTCCCAAATCCCTTTCTCTAGGCTCAGTGGTGCTGCCAGAGCACTGCAGGCAATCAGAGTTATAGGAGATGCTCCATCAGAAAAGCAGGATTAACTAGCAGCAAAGTAGGGCTGGACACCAGCAAGGTCACAAAGGGCCTGAGAGCAGCAGGAGCTGCCGTGGCTGTACAGCCCTTTCCCAGGTTGAAACCATCTGACAAGTGCTGACTTTGGTAAAGTATTGATGGTAAAGTATTGATGCTCATTTAAGTGCACAAGGGTTAGAAATCGTTCCAGGTGCTGGCTCAGAGGGGCTGCAAAGAAGACACTTTTACAGCATTGGCCCTCAGGCACCTTCAGTCCCGCTGGAGCCTCTGTCTCCATCTCTGGAAGCTGGTAAGTGGGTGGGGACTTTGCATTGGAACCACTCTAACTTTTCTAACCTGCCTTCAAATCTTCCAAACTGGTTTGCAGCAGAGCAATGGGAGTAAAGAACTGCCACCACCTCTTTTCTGAGCTTTAACTACTTGTACTCCTTCAGGGGGATTTGAGACTATAAATAGTTTTTTTACACATATTGTTCTTGTTTTACAGTTTTTGCCAATTCTGTGAGATATGCTTCCCTTTCTCCTTGAGCTGAACAGAAAACTGAAGCAAATAAAGCAGCCTGTCCCATCTTCCCCTCTGGCTAGAGTTCCTCTTCTGGACTTTGGGATGCAGCATCCTTTGCCAAATGCAGTGGGTGATGAAAGCTACATGTTAAATGAAGGAAACATCTGCATTTTTGCTTGGTTACAAAACTTGCATCATGGTTAAGTGGAACTCATGAGAAGCCTGACTGCCACAAGTGTAATGAGTGCCTGGGTGGGAGCTTGAGGTGGTTTTGGAAATCCCCCAGTACCACCAGGAAATGTGCACTGAAACCAGCTGCCACTGCTGCACATCACCTTTTCTGCAAAGCAAATGAGAGGGCACATCTGCTTTCTCTGTGTTTATTGCATTACACTGAAGCAAACCAGCGTGTGGTGATTTGCAGTTATTAGCTGATTATTTCCAAGTCTAAGGAATACCAGGAAAAGCAATTAAACGGTTCAGGACCCAGTTAACACTGAAGGAAGGCTCAGGCTGTGTGAGTGGACAGAATGAGTCCCGTGCCAGGCTGAGCTGCCCACACAGCAAGGCAGCAGTCTCCCTCAGCTGGGTGTATTCTCAGTGCACAAGAGCCAGTGAGCTCTACTCTTGCTTCATGGGGGAACTCAACCCAAGTAATTTCCTGGGAGTAACACAGTGAAATCCACACCCTGGAGATGTTCATCCCTGCCCAGAGGTGTCCAGTGGTGACCACACTCAGTGTTGTCATCCCTTGTGCTGAAAGCTGCTCTGAGAAACCAAGGTTGGGTAAATCTCCTGGCTCCTGCAAGATGGGACTTTCCTCATGTCTCCCCCAGATGCTGGTCATTCCCATACACCACTTCCCCCTTGTTTAAGTTCAAACACAAAACAAAACTCAGGCCTCTTAAATAATGACCTCTACAAAGATTGTGGAGATGCTCCAAAATGTCCTGTCATTCATGAGGATAGAGAGGTGGTAGGTGAGCCAAAGAGCTGCTGGTGCTGCTGGCAGGAGCAAGTCTTTCTTTTAGGACTAGAAAGCTTAAAGTCACCATCTTAAAATGCAGTCTTCAGGGACAGTGGCCAGAGGAACCCACCTGAAACAAACTGCAAAGCAAATCAGGATTTGTAGGTTGACTTTGATGTATCTGCAGGTTTTGTTTAGCTGTAGAAACTCAGTTTGCTAAGGAATTACTGACATTGATATTCTATATTGTATAAGCCTTTTTTCTTGCTTTTTTTATTTTTAAATTTTAATTTTCCCAGCTGTGGCTGGGGGCCCAAAAGCAGCAAATCAGTGCTGGTAAGTTGTTTGAAGAGCCTGGAGGGTGCACAGCCTCACCAACCCTCCTCTTTGTAGATATTGTTCAGGTAGGTACAGATTTCATTGGTCACCTTCTCAAAGGAAGCTTTGCAGTCTCCGCCAAATTTCTCCTCCATCAGTTGTAAGATAATGTCACAGATAATCTAAACAAGGAGAAGGGAAGAAACAACCACGGTGAACTTTTCTCCCTAAGAACTTACATATCTTTAGCTGGGATTCTTGGAGGGCAGAAAGGGGTAGAAGAACAATTCAGAGCACATGACCTGCAGAGCTTGTAATAGGGCATGGAAAATAAGCTGCATTACAGAATTCACAAAAAAACTGCTGCTGGTGTTTTTAACTACCCCAGTTAATGTTGACTGCACCTCTCACTTTAGGATGGCTGTATAGGACTGAGCTGTGCTTCATCCATCCAGTGCAATCCTTCTCCAGGCAGGGGACTGTCCCACATATTTAGAGGCCATGATGAGCCCTTTGTTGGACACCTGTGGAATATATACATGGCTTGGGGGCTAAGTTTTTCCCTGACCTTTCCTGCTCGCTAGCTATCCAGCCCACTGTAGCAGAGTTCTTGCAGTGAGGGAGGTGGTATATTTTGAAATGCCAACTCCTTTCCTCTAGAACATTTATTGTTTTGTGTGCATTTTTACCCTGAAAAAGTATTTTCAGCCAGAAATCATCAGTTATTTTCCCACTCATTGAAAATTTGGCCCACTGCTTTTGAAATCACCTCCATTTGGAAATAATCTTTGCCAGAAGGTGCCTCTTTTTGCTGTGTAAGGCAGACAAAATAGTTATAAATGCACTCTGCTAGTGACCTTAGGTGGATCTGGGCAAGTAAGTTGATCCTGTATTTATTATTTGAGTTTGTTTAATTATGACAATGCTATTGTCATTGTTGCTCAATAACAGCTAGTTTAGTTGTCCTGGAAAAGCTCAGCTCCTGTTACAAGATAAAAAATACATCAGGGACTGAAGCTCAGTGTTAGAAGTGCTTTTCTGTATCTTGTTATTAAATGGCAGGTGTAGGAATCATATTGCTCTGAGAAAACCCTCTACAACTCATGGGCAGCTGTGCGGCTCCCACCACATCACCTGCCTGCACCACATCTGCTCTCCAGCCATCTTCCCCACCAATGCCAGATCTCTCACTCCTGCCATCTTCCACCACCAACCTCCTCACCTTCCACCACCTCCATTCTCTGAGGCATATATATGTATTCCTGCAGACAAAGCCTATGTTCCTCAGTTCTACCCCTCAAAGGGGAAAACATGCCCTCCTCACAATTACACCCTTTGGGAAGAGGGCTGCTCACTCACCCTAAAGTTTTTGGGGTCAATCTTCAGCTGGGTGGCATGTTTCTTGCCAAGTGGGGTCACTATCCCAAGAAAAGCCTCAGAGTTGTCCAGGTGTTGCACCATGTCGTTGATGGCACTGAAAA